AAAAATCATTTCTCGTAATAAATCTTGTATGCTCATTTTCCTTGAATGTGTGTACTAATGTTAATAAAGTTGTATTCAAAGAATGCAAACCAACATATGGAGCAATAATGTAACATAGGTGGGTGAATTTATTATTTTTCAATTGGCTTAACGAATCACGAGATCTGAACGCTCATTTTGGTATTATTATAATAGAAAGGAGTGATAGATGGCTACATGTAGAGATGCTAAACGGTCTTTGGCTCGACAGGCCGGCCCGTTTTGTCAAAGAAAAAAAAAAACAGAGTTAGGATCCTTTATTAGTAGCCCGTTTAAAATCTAACTTTTTAAGCCTGTATCGTTTAGTCAAAAGCCCGCTAGGGCTAACCCGTTTAAGTTAGGTTGAGTGGTGTAATTGTTTGCAGCAGGTAAGGAATACGCCCCAAGATTCCTTTTATATTACAAACTTTTATATTCTACTTCACATGTAATAATAAGTTGTACTGAGTTATTACGATTTTGAAAGATAATTATTAACAAACTTTGTTATTCTACTTCACACTAAAATATTTAATCAGAACGAATAATAGAAAACACATGAGATAAAGTCATCTCCTTATCTTATCTATCGGGTGAACAAAGCTGGGAAAAACAAGAAAGAGCTACAAGGCAAGGCTAACACAGAAAAGTTTATGATAAAATATAAATTTAGCAGTATGATAATATCATGAAAATTCCGGAAGCGTACAAAATAACTAACTAGTAAAATGATAGTAATAAGTAATAATTCAGACATGTTTTTTCTTTTGAGAAAAAAATATGTTATTTAAGGATTTGTAATGTGTGTTCAGATATTAAATATAGTAGTAAATTCTAAATAGTCGTTGAAGAAAACCGTTAATTAGCCATTGTAATTTTGTATACATATATTATTTTATTTTTGATATATTATCATCGTTAGGGGTATTCACGGTCCAGTTTTAACCGAAAAAAACCGTCAATCCGGACCGCGGATCGGTTAAATGGTCAGTTAAAAATGCCTTAAAAAATCCGGAGGTTAATTTTTTTAAAAATCCGGAATAACCGGTCCGGTTAACGTATTACCTGCGGCAAACCACCGGTTTAACTGGACCAGACCGGTAAATATTAAAAAACTATAACCAATATATATATATATATATATACATTCAGTTATTCACTATAGCCAACAAATACAATACATTCACTATGAATGCTTGCTCTTATTATTTCAGGTGTATAAACTGACTGAAAAATGAATGCTTTCTTGGGTGCAGTTTGCATAATTTAATCTTCATCATTTTTGTATTTTTATGTTTATGGGACGAAATGTGTAGTTTTATGCTTATGGGACGAATTGTGTATTTTTTATTTCATTATTGTTGTTTTTCTTAATTTTTAGACTCAAATAATCTCTTTTGAGCCCAAAATTAAGAAATAAAAATTAAGCCCAAAATAATAAAAAAATAAAAATTGAAGGCACAAAGCAAGGATTTTGAATTTAACCGGTTAACCGCCAAACCGGATCGTCCAATGCGGTCCGGATTGTAGTCGGTTAAAAAATAAAACCGGTCCGGTTATGGACAAGAAAAAAAATTAACCGTTAGGTCCTGTTTGGTCATGGTTTGGGCTAAAACCGGACCAATCTAGACCGTGAACACCCCTAATCATCGTTATACCCGCATAGTCAGTTTAGTCCGAAGCCCGCTAGGGTTAGGGTTATGTCTTTTTATCGATAGCTCGTTTAAATTCAAATCTTTTAGACCCGGACCGTTTATCCGAAGTCTGCTAGGACTAGTTCGTTTAACATCTCTAGCTATGTGCTTTTCATATATTTTTTTGTAACTAAATCTATAGTTTTAGTTGCAGAAAATGAACAAGGTTAATACTGCAACAAATTCTTGTGACGAAACGGGAGAGTTGATTCATGATGCATTGTAAATAAAAGGGTAAAGTCCACTTTTGGTCCTCCATGTTTAGGGGGTATCCAGACTGAGTCCCTATTATGTTTTGTTGCCCAATTTTAGTCCTTAAAACAAAAAAATGAGTCCCTATTATGTTTTGGTGCCCAATTTTAGTCCTTAAAACGAAAATTGTAGTCCCTATAATAGGGAAAAATCCACTTTTAGTCCTCCATGTTTAGGGGTATCCAGACTTAATCCCTATTATGTTTTGATGCCCAATTTTAGTCCATAAAACAAAAAAATGTAGTCCATTTACCTCAATTTCTGTGAATTAACGGTCCATTTTTGCTCGACTGTGATGTTCTTTATTTTTTTAAAATTTGTTGATTAATGTCAACTTTGACCAAAGAAAAATAAAAGAAAATTTAAATGCTGAAAATATATTAATCAAAAATTAAACTAAAACAAGAAATTGCACCAAATTAAATTAAAATTTTTGCTCGTCTGATTTCTATTTCCCTAGCATTCGCGCTGCGGAGCAAGCCTGGAATCACAGCTACTGCTCTTGCACCCATTTCCGGGTCATGCCATCGAAAAAAATTGCACCTATCAACCCTCTGTTTTTTAACCATTTCTTATCATATTCCAATTGAAGTTCACAGAAAGTACTTACAGGATATAGAGGGCAACTCAAGAATCTTCTCTCGGGATTATCATCCTTCCAGCATGTAGTCAACTTTGCAACCAGCTCACATCTACAAAATACCACACCATTTCCATCCATTTGATCGGATTTAGTCTCTAGGCGGTCAAGCTTTTTTTTTCTACGTTTCACTGCAGTTCACCATTTCTGCCTTTTATTTTACCTTTTTTCAGCATTTAAATTTTTTTTTATTTTTCTTTGGTCAAAGTTGACATTAGTCAACAAATTTTAAAAAAATGAAGAACATAACGGTCGAGCAAAAATGGACCGTTAATTCACATAAATTGAGGTAAAGGAACTATATTTTTTTGTTTTAAGGACTAAAATTGGGCATCAAAACATAATAGGGATTAAATCTGGATACCTCTAAACATGGAGGACTAAAAGTGGATTTTTCCCTATTATAGGGACTACATTTTTTTGTTTTAAGGACTAAAATTGGGCACCAAAACATAATAGGGACTCAGTCTGGATACCCCCTAAACATGGAGGACCAAAAGTGGACTTTCCCCTAAATAAAAATAAAAACTTATGCTGATATTTTTGGCATAATCTGGTGACATAAAAACATGACCAGAATGATGCATACAGTTGTTGGTTTAAAAAGTGATGTAATAATTAATATATAAAAAAAAAATAATTGTGATATGTATTACTGTAGCAAGGTCCACTGAATAAAAGGTTATTACATCTACCATTTATTTAGTTCCCCTGCAAAAATAGTAATGGCCCAGCTTGTTTACATTGACGTTTTCGTAAATTTTTTAGGAGAATATTGCTTAAGGATGACATGGCACGTCCAGTCATATTAAAATGTATTACATTATTCAAAACACCGAAAGTAGTTTGAAATCTGTGCTGGTCAAATAACAAAATATTACCATTAAGTTTCCTTATTTCAAGCTATGCTTCATATTCTATTTCAGATAAGGTATCAATGTGTCATCTGTTCAATAAACTCAAGTTATTTAAAAAACGAGTTCTAGCTTGATTATTTATCAGTACTAGCAAATTGAGTATAAGCCTTAACGAGTCAAACTTAAACCTAAACATAAATTGAATTATAGAACACTATAAAAAGTTATATTTTCGAGTCTTAACAAATCTTTGATTTCAATAGTTAAGTCAAGCTTTCAGGCAGGCGAGACGAATGCCGATTCTACCTCTGCCAACTCTAAAACCAAACCAAAAAAAATAAAAAATGCTTATAATAAGATTTTAAAAAATGAAAAGAAAAACTAGTTCAAACACCAAAACAAAAGGCTTTTTCTTCATGAATTGTCATATTGAATATAGTACCATTGCAACTAACCCATCACAAAACAATAATGTCAATAATATCTTTTTCCTATATACAACAAAGTGACAAACCCCATCACCCATGGAACCCACCCCACATTTTCATCTCAAGAGATAAAAATATTCTCAAACACACCAAAAATAAAATAAAAAAATTAAAAACAGAAAACAAAAATATAATAAAACTAACAAATTAAAATGCCTAATTGCCTATTTTCAACAACCCCATCTATTTTTTATTGTTCAATCCTTGATAAAATAATAATAATAATAATAACAATAAAATCATAAAATTATAGCCCAATTACTAGTCAAGCGCGTTGGGCCCCGCGCAGGCCTTGAGCACCGGACTCCAAATCCACTGCACCAGAAACCGCCGCCCCCGCCGGCCGTGCAGGTTGAACGTCCTCCCGCCGCCGTCCCTCATCACCTGCCCAATGTACCCGCCGCCGCCGCCCGTCCCGTACAGCCCCTCGCACAGGTCCCCGATCTCCGTCGGCGCCGTCGGGTCCTCGCCGGCGTACCACGCGTTGATCAGCGGGTTCGAAGAAAGCTCCGCCAGCTCGTGCCCGATCACGCTGATCATCCCGTCCACTCCGGCGTCTCCGTTAGGCGGCCTCAGCGCCGTCGTACCCCCGCCGGCCATGTACGCCGGCACGGCGAATGGGTAGGCGCACACCTCCGGGCACTGCCGGCCGGAGTTCCCGACCCACGCGTACGGCAGCGTGCTTCCCGCCACCGACGGGAAGGTGAAGTAGTGGAAGCCGCAGACGGCGCGGCAGAAGTCCTGCACTGTGACGCCGGCGGCGGTGAGGACGAGGTAGACCCCGTTCCGGTGGTCTGCGGGGAGTGGCCCCGACCGGACGGCGGCGGCGATGACCCCCTGCATCGAGAGGCGCGTGAGGGAGGCGCCGTGGGAGCAGTTCCGGTCGGCGTGCTCGCCGGCGACGACGACGGAGCGGGAGACGTTGGCTCCGGTCTGGTCGGTGTAGAGGGAGACGGTGCGCCACCAGTCGGCGACGCTGGGGGAGGGAGCGGCGCGGTGGTCGGAGATGGAGAGGAGGAAGTCGAGGATGAGGAGGCGCTGCGCGTCGGGCCACGCGCCGTACCAGATGAGGTAGAGCTTGATGGGGGCAGCGGAGAGGACGGGGCCCATGTGGTAACGGAGGTCGACGAGCTCCGACGAGCCCTCATACCTCTTGGAGGAAGAGAGGGATCTCGGCGGGAGCTTGGGGTTGCAGGTGGTGGCGGCGGCGCCGCCGTTTTTTTCGACGGGTGGGTGTATTTGAAGGGTTTGGTGGTGGTTTCCGGCAGCTAGGACGTATTTGTTGGGGAGGAGTAGGAAGAAGAAGAAGGCGGCAGCGGAGAAGAATATGTGAAACGACATAGCGGAAGAAAAAAATTGGCTGTGAAGGATATTCAGATTTAGCAGTGAAACAACATCGGTTATTGCTTTGTTGTTATAGAAAAGGGAGAGTGAGAGTGTGTGTGTGTGTGGGGTTATCAGTAATTTTATGAGGGCTTTTGGTTTTGGGAGGGAAAATGAATATGGGCTGGCAACAGCTGCCTCAATTTTTATTTTTATTTTTTATTTTTTTTTCTTCTCCATTTGTAATATCCTGCATTCCTGTGTTTGGAGTTTGGACTCTATATTTTGACTACTTTTTGTAGTAATATATAATTTATATTTCATAAATATTCATAATTTACCTCACGTATTTGGTTAAAATATAGACGAAATTGTAAATTGTGAATTTTTAAGAATTTTATTCTACGGGAAAAAAATATTATAGATTGGAAAGTTTAAAAAAAAAAAATAGAGTATATGATGGAAAAAGTTATTTTACCCTTCTTTTTCTATTGATTATTTTTTTTCAACTTTTTACTGCAGTCATTCCAGTGTTGTCACAGGAATTAATGAATTAGGAGCGTAATTTGAATTTATTATAATGAACTTTCATGGTACCAACTGTTAGTGTTGAATTCTACTTACCTACCATGATTGGCTGGGATCCACTCACTTTGCTCCTCTGATTATTATATTATATTATATATATATATATATATAAATGTATTAGGCGGTCTAATATTCTCTTTCATTTTACTTTTATAGTATGACATTTTAATAATAACGTATAAAAATGTGGGTGTTTCAAATTTACGTTGCCATTTTTTGGTCGTTGCATCAATACACAATTGTTGGTATGTTTGGTAGATTCAAGAAGGGTTAATTGCATTAAAAACCCTAACCTTTTATTTAATTGTAAATAAAACTCAACTTTTTTAATTTGGCAAGAAAATACTCAACCTTTATTAAGTATTGCAAGTTTGTCTCAAAAACAGATTTCAGCCAATGCTGCTGACATGGCTTATCGGAAAATTGACGTGGCATCCACATCAGCTTACACTTAGGACGCCACGTCACACTTCATCCACATCATTTTTATTTCTTATTCCTTATTAAAATTCTAATTTCCCCCTTTTAATTCATTTTGCAGACAGATTTTTGGAAAGAAAAAAAAGTTCTCGCATCCCTTCTCTTCTGCTCGATCCCAAACAGATTTTCTAATTCATTCGGCATGAATATAACTCCGTCACACGAAAATCGTTCGAATCAACTCCTCAATCTCATGGAAAAAATTCGAAAAGTTACCGATTTGTCCGAGGAGGAGGTGGTTGAAGAAAAGTTCGCCACATTTGGAATTCAAACATGGCGGAGGAAATCAGTTCACCAGCGGCCGCGAGTTCGACGAAGAAATACAGAACATGGCGCTCCGTCCTGCGATGGACACCGACATCCGCCAACCACATCCTCACCGCCGAGAAACGCCTGCTCTCCCTCGTCAAGTAATGCAGATTTCGAGAAATTAGAGATTTTGGGGGGAAAAAAATAAAGCCCTAATTGATGTCGTTTGTTAGGGATTTATTTGTTTGGGATTTTGATTGTAATTTCTCAGGACACCGTACAAGCAGGTCCAAAAAATCTGACGTGGATCGAGCAGAAGAGAAGGGCGAGAACTTTTTTTTTCTTTCCAAAAATTTGATTTCTGCAAAATGAATTAAAAGGGAGAAATTAGAATTTTAAAAAGGAATGAGAAATAAAAATGACGTGGATGAAGTGTGACGTGGCGTCCCAAGTGTAAGCTGATGTGGATGCCACGTCAATTTTCCGATCAGCCATGTCAGCAGCATTGGCCGGAATGTGTTTTCGAGACAAACTTGCAATATTTGATAAAGGTGAGTATTTTCTTGCCAAATTAAAAAAGTTGAGTTTTATTTGCAATTAAACAAAAGATTAGGGTTTTTAATGCAATTAACCCATTCAAGAATAAAAAAATTCAGGACTGAATCTTCATGTCTTGGAAATTTCAAAATTTTAGTTAAATATCAAATCGAAAAAATAGTTTTTGACATGTTAATGTGATTTCATGTCAAAATATTCTTTTGATTTTTTCATAGTACCTAAGTCTTAAATAAAGATTGGAAATAAAATTAGTTAAGGTCACGGACGGGATGGAATCCATAATAGGGTTTGGCGGATGTGATTGTCTTATTGAAAATACAACACATAACTCAATCATATATATGCCCATTCTACGGTAAGCAAGCAATATGCCTTAGAAAGATAAATGAATTTGAGCTGTGAAAGGGAATAATGTCCCAACACACACACACACTGATAGTTCGATTTGAAGCATTAGTGTTTATATTTACCCAAGCAATTGTAAAAAATATAAAAAATTAATAATTATTCTAATATCAATTCTATAGTTTTTTCAGTTAGGTTGGCCGTACATTTCTCACAAGTCTCACAAATCTCCAAAACTTTCATCATAAAATGATACTAGTATGAGCCCCGTGCAATGCACGGGTAAGAAATATTCATTAATATTTATAAATTAAAAATTTTTATTAGATAATATTTATAAATTAAAAATATGGAGTCAATATGTAATACAATTTATCTATATTAATTTATTGAAAATGCTATATAAAATTTAAATTGCGCAAAATTACATAAAAATGTCTATTTAAAATTAGTACACAACTCGTGCGGTGCACATAAATGATGATAAAATACAATATATTCATTTCATAATAAGTGTCATTACAAAATTTTTATTTAGAAATTCGATTTGACTATAATATGATTTCATAAAATAGTTATTTTGGTAAAATTTTATCATATATTTCACAACCTATGTGAATATAATAAGTATAAATATAAAATTTATATTGTTTCATTAATTAAAATATATTTATATTTGTATAAACTATTCAAATCAAAAAAATTAAGTAGTTGAGTAATTTATTAAACTATAAATAATTGACTATTTCGTTTACGTCCAAGTTAATATTGACTCGTAAGTTATGAATAATAATTATTTTTTATTTTAAATTTTATTTTTATTTTTATTTTATTTTTCAATATATTATATACCAAATTTAAACCATGCAACTAATAAAGGTAATAGCAGCAAGTTTTGTATATTATATACTAAATTTAAATCATTCAATTAATAAAGGTAATAGCCGCAATATTTGACAAAAATGATTCTTTACATTAATTACATTTAATTTAGGCGATATTTTTCAAATTTTGGCAAAAAAAATTACCCAATTTAGTAAATTTGAATTTTTAGACGGGAAACCAAATATTTTTTTTTACTGATTTTTAATTACTATTTCAAGTAAATATCATTGTCTCTTTATATATTAATCGATAGATTGATGAAATATTGTTTAAATTAAATATTGTCGTAATTTTTTATTGGCATGAAATAAATTGGAGAATTAATCTAATTGTTTAAATTGTAAATATTTTTTGGCATAAAATAAATTGGAAAAAAATAATCTAATTGTTTAAATGAGCTAAAATCGTATTTTTGTTATTACCAAAATAATCATTTTTTTATTACCAAGACAATCAGATTTTAGGTGAGATTTAACATAGGCGTAGTGAGATTTTAGGTGTAGTTAAAAAAATAAGAACAAATCCGATAGACACAACACAAACTGAGGGCCGACATTCTTTCCAAATTGGCCGAATTACTCCCGATTATCTTTACTCCCGATTATCTTTCCAAAGTGGCCGAAATCAAACAGTTCAAATTTTTGAAAAAATTGGAAGTTAATTTAACATCGGCAGAATTTTTTAAATTTTGCCCATAAATATTACCAAATATTATTGTTTAGTAAATATTATTGTTTGGGCAAATAAAATGTTTTTAGGTACACCATTGATTTCAAATCTTGGTGTTTTACCTGCAAATAACTTCTTAATTATGCAAAGTTAAAAATAAAATAAAATATATTTTTAGGTACACTATTGATTTTCATGAATCTGCGAAACAGGGGGAATAAGATTTTATTCCTAAGAAATATTATATGTATCTATTTAACGTTTTGATATATTATTAGTTTCTGATTATTAGTAGTTGTGCGGGATCGTCTTAGTATTTAAAAAGATATGCATCATAATAATAGTGATCCTCAAAATATAGGAACCTTTTCTAAATTCAAAATCGTTTGATTCGGTCATAACTAAAATGATCGTGCTTATCAAATGAAATCCTATTTTATACTTAAATAAATAAAATATTATAATTATTGTTGAGATCTAAAATATAATTGAAAAAAAAATATATATATAGTAAGCAAATAATAGTTGAGATCTAAAAAAATTTTAATTGGGAGTTTCAGTAAAGTGTACGCAAATAATAGTTGAAATTTTAAATAAATTATAACAAATAAAATATTATTATATTCTAAAGCAATTATAGATAGTTGGATTCTAAAGCATTATTAGACTGTAGGATTCTTTTTAATATGGATATACCTTTGATTTTCATTCCAAGCCAAAATTATTGGCTTATGATGTTATCCTTTTAACTTTTGCTTAATCCGATTGATTTCTGGATTTTGTAGTTATCTATTGTTTCCTTTAAATTATTGAACTTAATTTTTTTTCAAAATTTTTTAAAAAATGTTTAGGCGGGATTTTTTAATTTTTCAAAAAAAAAATTACTATATTTAGTAATTGTTTAAGCGGGATTTTAGATGATTTTTTAATTTCTATTCTCAGATAATTCAGGTTGCTTCTTTATATATTAATAGATACTTTAGAAAATCAGCACGACATCGTGTTATAATATAAATATGCATTTTTCATGTTATAATATAATTGTGCAATTTATCTTATCATACCATAACAACACGACTCATCTAGTTAGACTTTCTTATATAAGAATTTGTGATACCCATATTATGCATCTCATTACATGAGAAATAAGTATTTATTAAGTTATGTGACTTATG